GTACTTTTCCGTCCGACTCTAAGAGTATTTCTCTTTTTGCGTTATTGTACTTAACATTAAAAATATTTTTATATTTATATAATTTTTTGCACAAATGTCATTATAAAACACTAGTAGAAATATTTTTGTCATTTTCCCTGATTTATATTACGTTTTTATATAATAATTAATATTCAAATATCAACACGCAAAAAAATAAATGAGACCTTAGAGCCAGAGGAACAGAGGTAATATTATTTTAGGAATGAGGAAGAATATACTATTTTTCACCCATTTTAATTTACATATTTTTCATTTTTATTTGTCATACTTTAATTGATATCTTTTTATTTTGGATAAAATTTACTAAATTAAAATATATTTTAACAAATATAAATCAACGAATAATATATAATATCATAGATCATGACCAACTCAAAATCTCTTTGTTTTTATCTCTCCTTATAAAATAAATATTTTTATCTATATTTAAAACTCAATATCTTTTTAAAATTAATTTATGTTAATTGTAAATAAATAAATATTTTTTTATTTATCTGTGATATATAAAATTATATTTTTTATAAAATGATATATATATATCACATATATTTTTATTATAATATAATTTTTAAAATATTAGTATTTTTATGAATTTCTAATAAGAAATAATAAAGGGAAACAAAATACTCGTGCAGTGCAGCAAATTTCTTGGCTCAGTATACTTTCAATTATTACTTTCATTTTGTATAGTTCATTGATTGTGGCCCACATGACAAGAAAATAGATGATTGATTATCAAAATTAGGGTTGGCAAACGGATCGGGTTCAGGTTCGGGTCAACTTAAATGGAATAGAAAATCTTTGATTTGAACCTGATTTATTTAATTAAATTGGTTGATATTTACAATTTTAACCTGACTTTTTATTAATCGAGTCAATCTAAATTTGACTCATATAACCCGTTTAAATTAAAATTTATATTAACATAATTTTCAAATGCATAATATATATACATATTAAAGCAAAAAAATTATTATAAATATCATGGAACCGATATTCAAGAATTAAATTAACAAACACTACATAATACTACACAACACAATCCTTTATTTTTTATTGTTTATTTTTATAAAATTGGCCATAAATATTAAATTGTATTGATAAAATTTTAAAAATATATTTAAATTTAAAAAAATATTAATTAAACAGGTTAGACGGATTATTTTTAAATCGAAAATATAGATCTTAACATAACACATTTAATTAAATTGGTTAAACATGTTTGACCCAATTATTAATTGGGTCAAAAATCTCAACCCAAACTCAACTATTTCAGGTAAGGTTCGGGTTGAATTAAACGAGTTTGACCCAATTATTAATTAGGTCGAAAATTTCAACCCAAACCCAACTATTTCATATCAGGTTCGGGTCGGGTTACCAAATCGGACTAATTTTTGCGTCAAAATACATATACAAATAAAAAATATTTATGATAAAAATAATAATTAGCCGTAAATACAATACTCCCTCTGTCCCGGAACTAAATATCCATTTGTTTTTTGCACATAGTTTTAAAAATATTAGTATTATATTGGGATATAATATGAATAAAATAAAAATGACTAAAATAACCTTATTAGTATGTGTGATATAAAGGTAATGATATTTGTGTAATATAAATATTTGTAATGTCAGGTAAATAATACAATTATTTAAAAAAAAAATAAATACTTTGCCATAGGACGAACTAAAATAAAAAAATTGATATTTTGCTAGGAGACTAACCTCCCAGTTAGGATTGTTACGTGGGCAGTCAGATCGAAATCACGTGCAATCGATAGCCACTTTGTGACATTATACTCCCAATGCACATCACCCTCCGTTTTTTTATTTACAATTAATTGATAATAATAGGCAAAAATGCATATACGCTCACGTTGCAGATAGTTTACTAATATAAATAATGATATACTTTATTTACATTAAACATCTATTTTTTTTTTGCACATATTTAATAAATATTATACTCTTTTCGTTCTTTAATAATTTTTTAAAAAAATTTTTGGTCTATTTTATAATAAAATATTTTTTTAATAATTGTATTATCTATCTAATATTACAAATACCGTTCCAATTTACAATATATTATACAAATATCATTACCTTTATAAAATACCATAGTAATAAGATTAGGTTAGTGCTTTTACTTTTATTTCTACTACATTCAAATATAATACTCCCTCCGTCCCAAAACTAAGTATCCATCTGTTTTTTGCACGTAATTTTAGAAATATTAGTATTATATTGGAATATAGTAGGAATAAAGTATAAATGACTAAAATAACCTTATTAGTATATGTGATATAAATGTAATGACATTTATGTAATATATTGTAAGTTGTAAGGGTATTTGTAATGTTAGGTAGAAAGTATAGTTACTAAAAAAATGGATACTTTGTTATGGAACGGACTAAAATGAAAAAATAAATACTTTGTTATGGCCGGAGGAAGTACTAATATTTTTAAAATCCTGTGCAAAAAGCAAATAAATAGATAAATATGATACAGATGGAGTATTTAATAATAATTTATGATAATTTTATATGTAAAAGTTATTTTACTTTTATAATATGCAAAGTTACTATTAAAATATTAATATAAATAAAAATAAAAATAATAATATTTGTAATATTTGGTGAAATTGATATTAACTTTTAAAAAGAAAAAAGATATATGTATTTATATTTGAACCATCAATAATAAATATATATTTTTTTAATTAGATTAAGAGAATATATTATTTTTTGTTTCATGGAATTCACAGTCGTTATTTTTCAACTGCATTTTGAATAAATTTTCAACCGAATCAATGTATATATATATGTGTGTGCATAGAGCTTGTGAATACTATTCATATTTGCAGAGTATTAAATTCGACCGAGAGTTTACTCAGTACATGCTTTCGGTAGCGACTGTGGTTTCCATATTATTATAAAAAAAAAAAAAAAAAAAAAATTATATGTATGTGGATATAAGTCTTCCAACGCGAACATGGATGAAGGAAGGAAGGAAGCAATTGTATTTGTAGCTGTAGGTATAAGAATGGCACGTACTCCCTCTGTCCCGCTACATATGATCTTTTTTTATTTTTGTTAATTTTATCATTCTTAAATATATTTAATAAATATAAATTAATTTAATTAAATTTCTAACATCTTACACATAGGATCAGCTCAAAATTCCTTTATTTTTATCTCTCTTCTTAATTAATATAATTTTTTATCTATATTTAAAACTTCTCATTTTTTATAAAACTAATTTATGGTAATGATAAATAAATAAAAATATAAAATTTTATTATCTATAAAATGATATTCATATTGCATATATTTTTTCGAGATATAATTTTAAAATTTTTAAAATACCAATAATATTATTCATATAAAAAATAATAAACTAATATCATAACTTATTATTAATAACTTACTAATCTATACTACTTAAAAAATTGTGTCCCTGATAAAACATCCATCTCTCGCGGGACATAGGGAGTATTATTTAATTTATAATTTAATTTTATAATTTAATTTAAGTTGAATGAATGATAGGATGCACAGCAGCAAGTTGCATCATCACCCACCCACCCACCCACCTCTCAATACTTCCGTTTGGTTACACAGACAACCAACATGCTTTGCCTTGCCTTGCCAACTATCTGCTAACATCCAGCCATCCCATCATTTATTTTTTATTTTAATTATTCAATTCTGAAATCTGTTGGGAGATCCTATCATTTATAAAATTGAATTGCAATTTCTATTTATCATTAATTGATTTGATTTTTAAGACGTTTCTTTCGATTGAGTTTTGAAAAAAATTGATTTGAATTTAATATTAAAATAATATTTAATGAAATATTATGTTAGAAAAAAAAAATATATTTTTTTCCGACAAATGCATTATTTAAATTGTAAGATTTGAAAAAATTTAGGTAAAAAAGCAGACCATGATCTTTTTGTTTTATTGTATTTTAAAATTGATTTAAAATAAAGTATTGATTTAAATTTTTATTTAAATAATAATTTAATACGATATTTTATATATATAAAAAAGTAGTAGTACTATTCTCACTTTGTTTTTCTAGTAAGTATATTTTTATTGCATAACCAAACTAGATTTTAATTACTTGTATTCGTTAATATTTGTGAAGAAAGTTCGTTCTTTACACGTTCAAATTGCTCGAACTCATTTGAACTAAATTTTAAGTACTTGTGTTATTTAATGCTTCATCTGTTCAGCTACAAAATATATATTTTTTTTATTTTGGAACGTTCAATTTCAAAGTAACTATTTCATTAAATACTATTTTTTTAACAAATACTCTTATTTTATATCACATTATTACTTTTATACCAAAAAGTAAAGATAAAAATGTCATTATACTACTTTTACCTATTTACTATAATTAAAATACTACTTACTCCGTCTCAAAAGTATAATCTTATTGTGTTGGACACGAGATTTAAGGAATATTAATATTATATTTGTAGTTGATAAAAAATAAAGATAAATACATTTTTTGTCCTTGTGGGTATATTAATGTAAAAAATAGAAACAATTATATAATAATAATGAAAAAATAGAAATAATTTTACGGTGATATAATTATTTATAAAAATAAGACTATTTTTTTAAACTTCGTATAAAAATAAACGTATACTTCATGCTTCGACGGAGGAAATATTTTTGAAGCAGTTTTTCTTGATTGTGTTCGGTTTGAATAATTTTGTTCAAAATCATTTGAAAAGTACAATATTTTATTTTATTTTATTTTATAATTAATATATATAGTATTTATTTATTTTTAAATAATAATTTTATATATTTATTTTTTAATGAATGTTGGTAAAACGATACTCGGAGTCATTAGTTAACAAGACGAGCTTATTCATGTTATCGGTTCGACTTGTTTACATTCATAATCGCGAACCGGTCCGAGTCAACTGGCAATGGCAGTATGGCACCCAAAAGCATCAACGTTTATTCACCATTACATTTTTATTTTAGGAAGACACACAACAATTACAAGTATATATATATGTATGGTAATGGAACAATTAAGCCAAGTAGTTACATATATATATATATATATATATTAGAGGTATTTTGAGTTGTTACCTGGAAGACACTGGATTCAGAGCTCTGGCAAAGCCATTCATGGCCGTGTAGCTCTTGGAACTGAACCCTAGACAACCCAATAATCCCTGCCTGTACGGAAGAAACGTCTTCTTCCTCATCTCCTCTGCTTGTGCTCTGTTCGCAGTGTAATGTAATTCATGCGCCGATGGCGATACCGACGTCGATGCTGCTGCTGCTGCTGCTGCTGCTGCTGTGCCATTTCTCCTTTTACTCACAATCTTAGTCTGCTTCATAGTTCCCTTTTTACCATCGCGATTCACTCCGCCGCCTTGCTGCTGCTTCGATTTGGAATTGGAACTATTATTCGACATTGCAGGATTTCTCTTCTCCTTCTCCTTCTCCTTCACTGGTGAAAAGGATAACGAACTCCAGAATCTGTGACCTTCATTTCTTCCTTCGCTCTTGCTTCTGTACAGAAATTCCTTCAGGAACACCCATCGCCTTGAGCTCCTACCGGCGGAGGAAGATCGGGACGCGCACGGTGCTGTTTCGTCGGATCTTTTGTCCTCTTCGCCTTTATCGACGTTCGTACGCGGTGAAACGTTGTTTTGTTGCGTTTCCTCGCCGCTATCGCGCCACTGGAACGACGTCGTAGCGGTTGTTCTGTGCGGAGACATGGATCTGGTCCTCCGGCGCAGAGATCCGGTCCGGAGCTTCAAGTCTCTGCCTCGAGTGAATGTTTGGTCCTCCTCTACGGCGTCGTCTGATTCGATCAGAGGAGCGAGCAGTTGCGGTCGCTGGAGATGTGCGGAGAGCTTCATCGGTCGGATCTGGCCGTTGAAAAATAACTCGTCCGCGGAGGTCATGGATTCCGGCGACGACGCGCCTGTAGAGGGGAATGTGGAGGATAAATCGAACTCGAATGAAGAACTTACTTCCACCACGGCGGCGGAGGAAGAAGCATAGGATTTGAGAGCGACGGTGGAGAGCACAAAGTGTGTGGGACTGGCCGGAGCGCTGTAGTAAAATCCGGCGAGCGGCGTGTCGCGGCCTGGACTGGAAGGAGCGCTGACGAAAGGTGTGGAACAACAGCTGTCGTCTACGTCGTCGGCGTACTCCTCCTCCTCCGCCGCGGTGGCGGTGGCGGTGGCGGTGGCGGTGGCGGGATTTTCGAGCTCGTCTTCCATTTCTGTTGGTTTCTGCGAAAGGTGGTTGAGATGTGAAGAAGTGGGGTTTTATGGGCAGCAAAATTTGGGAGTTGCGCAGATCAAACAGCCCATGAATTTCACCAATATTTCAACTATGCCACTCTCCCATCTCTCCCTTGCATCAATGTAATTAATGTATGGGAATCTCATCATAAATAATTTATCCATTTTATAAAATTATTTTCAAAATTTTCTATTTTAATATTATTTATGTAATTTTTTATAAGAATATAATTGAAATTTTATAGAATTAGTAATATAATTTTTTAATTAATGTAAAAAAGATATATAGCATGGAGTGACATTTGTATTAATAGATAAAAACTAAATAAATATAAATTCTAAAAATAGTTATATTTTATTTTAGTAAATATGGCGTCAGTATATTCTTGTTAGACAAATTCAAATAATAAAATAAAGGGTAAACAGTCCCGACATCTTATTATTTTAGTCTCGTAAGTGGAGCATGTCGCAAACTAGTCCTATAAGTGAAAAATTTTCGATGTTTTAGTCATCCGGCGCTGGAGACGCCCGCGTGGCTCGCCGGAGGTGACGTGTCCAAGTCAGCAGCGATGACCTGGCGGACACGTGGATTTTTTTTTATTCTTTTAATTTTTTTTTAAAACTTATTTTTAATTTTATTTATATATTTTTAATTTTTTAATTTGATTTAATTTAAAAAAATATATTGAAAAAAATAAATAAATCCACGTGTCTGCCAGGTGTCGCTGACCTGGCGGGACACCTGGCGGACACGTCACCTCCGGCGAGCCACGCGGGCATCTCTGGTGCCGGAGGACTAAAACAGAGAAAATTTTTACTTATGGGACTAATTTGCGACATGCTCCACTTACGGCACTAAAATGATAAGGGGGTCCAGTTACGAGACTAAAAAACAGTTTACCCTTTATTCTTTATATAAGGTTGATTACTTCTATGTCTTGTATTGGTGTTTATATGAATCTTGTTGTGTTGTTGCTTATTCCAAACATTTTTTACATTACATGACGCCCGTATGGCATCGTGCGTCACCAAGTTCTAGTATATATAGATACACATATATACATATATAGATACACATATATACATATTGTTATTTTTAGAAATAACATATCACCCTCCATAATTTTAAATATATTTGAACAAAAATAATAAAACATATTAAAAAAATAAAGAATGAAATTCCACGTGAATGAGTTATCAAAAATATATAAGGGTAAATTTCCTTAATATTTCATTTTTGAATACTTGATACTCCCTTTGTCCTATATTTATATATCCGTTTGCTTTTTGTACAGAGTTTTAGAATTATTAGTATTATACTAGAATATAGTAGAAATAAAAGTAAAAAGACTAAACTAACCTTATTATTGTATGATATAAATGTAATAACGTTTGTTAAATATATTGTAAATTGAAAGATAATTTGTAATGTTAGGTAGATTATACAGTTACTAAAAAAAATTTATACTTCATTATTGAACGACCAAAATAGAAAAATAAATAGTTTGTTAAAAAACGGATGAAGTATAACTTTTTGGTAAGAGTTCTATTTAATATAATATATTTATTTTATAATTCTAAAATCTCAACTTGATAAGGTTCTAAAAATTCAACGTTATCTGAGATCTAATAAGTAAGACTATACATAATGCAAAACCCAATTTTGGGTTCTCCAAGATTAAGAACTCATCAAATTTTTTACTCACATTTTAGAACCGAGTGTTGTGTTCTCCGAATTTTTTTTTTTCCACGTCAACAGATTTATTATTTTTTTTAATACAATATTTTAATTTATTTCAAATTAAAACATATAATCTACATAAATTATTTAATAAAAAATATAATTTGATAAAATAAAATAATTATAATAATTGTTAAAAATAAAAATATTTTATAAATAAAAATAAAAAATTATAATTTAACATAGTATTAATTTTATTTTATATACTAAATATAAAAAATATAATTATAATATATATAGTTATATTATATAAAATATATTATAAATATATATTTTCTCTATCCTCCAAACAACATAGAGAGAGAATACACAACGTATTCTTCTAATGTTCTCGTAGAATAATGCGTTCTACTCCCATTTTTTTTTAGGCTAAATTGTTTTTTTGGTCCCGTAACTGGACCCCCTTATCATTTTAGTCCTGTAAATGGAGCATGTCGCAAACTAGTCCCATAAGTGAAAGATTTTCGCTGTTTTAATCCTCCGGCGCCGGAGATGCCTGCGTGGCTCGCCGGAGGTGACGTGTCCGCCGGGTGTCGCTGACCTGGCGGACACGTGGATTTTTTTAAATTTTTTTTCATTTTTTAAATTTTTTTTTAAAACTTATTTTTAATTTTTTTTTTCATTTTTTTTGTATTTTGTCTAATTAAAAAAATAAAAAAAATGAAAAAAAAAAATCCACGTGTCCGCCAGATGTCACTGACCTGGCGGGATACCTGGCGGACACGTCACCTCCGGTGAGCCACGCGGGCATCTCCGATGCCGGAGGACTAAAACAACGAAAATTTTTCACTTATGGGACTAGTTTGCGACAGACTTCACTTACGGGACTAAAATGATAAAGGGGTCCAATTACGGAATTAAAAAAACAGTTCACAAATATGAATTTGAGTTGGTTTGTTTAAGATATATTTTCGATTTCTAATATATATTTATTTTTCACAAAAAATCAATTATTTTATATATTATCTATATTATTCTCTATAATAATAATAATAATAAATAAATAAATAAAATACTATAATATGATATATATAATTAATTTATATATAAAAATTTATATATTATATTTTAATAAAAAAATATAATTATATTATTATTTTTAATTTATATATTATACGTTAATTAAAATTTAAAATTATAGTTAAGATATAATTCCTTTACTTATACTAAAATTATTAAATATAAATTATAAATTTTAAAATACAAATAATTTTATATTGGATTGTAATTTTATTTTAAAGTTATATATTATCCTTACATTGAAATTTTAAAATATAAATAACTAAATTTTAAATATATATTTTTATACTATAATTAAAAATCTTTAAATATAATTAATAAAATTTAAAAATAAATTATAAAAGTTTTATAAAAAATACAATTATATTAACAACATATTTTTTTAAATAATTTTAACAGTTTAAAAGCACTTTCGACTCTGTGTAAATCCAAACTGGTTTTTATAAAAAAAATTACTTTTATAATGATTAATCCAAATGCAAAACGGAAATCAATCCAAACGTGCCATAAATCAAATACACATTTTGTTTGAGCACGAGAATTTATGTAATATAGATTAGTTATTTGGATAATGAAAATTAAATATTTAATTATTGTGTGTAATAGAAGTATATTATGATTAAAAGAAATCTAAAATATGTGTTTAACTATTTTTAATATTATATCTCAATAGAAATATATACAATATGGATATATTTTATAGAGAATAAAATTTTATATAATACAAATAAATAAATATATATATGTATGATTACCATAAATTAGTTTTATAAACAAATATTAGAAATTTTAAAGGTAAATAAAATATTTGTTAATTGAAGAAAGATATACAAATAAAGTAGTTTTGAGTAAATCATCATCTAAAAAAATTAAAAATATAATTAAATTAATTTATATTTATTAATTATGTTTTATGGAACAAATAAAAAAGAAAAAAAAAGAGTATGATAAAAAGTAATTGACAAACTTATATTTTACAAGATAGATAAATTAAAGTAATGTTTATTATTAACTACTCATAATTATAATCATAGAGAAAGTCATAAGTGCAACAATTATTAATCTAAATTTCTTGTCATTGTATTTTTGCACCAAAATATCAAAACCATCTCAATTAGCTGCTAAATATGTTTTTCCAAATATACATTGTACTCCCTCTGTCTCGTGTGGGATATAACTCTTTTATTAGACATACAATTTTTAGGTAGGGTAGATTATTAAGTTATTAATAATATTTATTACTCTCTTCGTCCCAAATAGGGTGCAACATTTGTTTTGGGCACGGATTTTTAGGTGAATAGTATTAAGTATGATAATTTAGAAATTAGGTGATGTGATGGAGAGAGAAATATATATTACATTTTTTTATTTGGGTGATATGATGAGATAAAGTGTAGGGTAGAGATTAAGTATAATTAACTATTTCCTATTTTAGAAATGTTGCAGAGTGTTTGTGACATACCAAAAAGAAAATGTTGCACACGGAGGGAGTATTTTTTATATGAATAATATTATTGGTATTTTAAAAAAATTTTAAGATTATATCTTGAAAAAATATATGTAATATGGATATTATTTTGTAAATAATAAAATTTTATATAATACAATATTTTTATTTATTTATCATTACCATAAATTAGTTTTATAAAAAATGAGAAGGTTTAAATATAGATAAAAAATTATGTTAATTGAGGAGAGAGATATAAATAAAGGGGTTTTGAGTGGGTCTTACGTGTAAGATATTAGAAGTTTAATTAAATTGATTTATATTTGTTAAGTATGTTTAAGATAGATAAAGTTCCCAAAAATGGAAATGAATAATCTTTTGTGGGACGTACAAAAAACGAAAATGGATCATTTGTGGCGGGACGGAGGGAGTATTATACTACTGCTTGAAATTTATGGTTAATTGTTTGAATATTTGAATTTTGTATTTAGAGGTATTTGGACAATTAATTATTTGAATAGTTAAATTAGATATTTATGCTAAAGTATTTATTAAAATAATTATTTACTATTAATTGTTTATATATAAAATAATTAAAATATTTTATATTGTACTTTTTAAAATATTTAGAAATGTAGGATTTTTTTTATAATTTTTGTTATATTTATTAAAAAATAATGAAAGTGCTATCACAAAAATTGTTCTGTTATTTTCAAAAAAGTTTTGTAAAAAAATTAATATATTTTTATTAAAAATAAAAAATAAAAAATCACTAAAAATAATATAAAAATATAAAAGCATAAATAATTCGTATATATATTTTTATTAAGATAATTTATAATTAATTTATTAAAATAAAAAAAAATAATTTGAAAGGTTGGAATATACTCGGATAAATCGTTTCAAAACTTAATT